TACAAGATCAAAAGTGACGAAATTGAAACTATAGGGTCAAAAGTGGTTGAAGTGCCAAACTACAAGGACCAAAAGTGACTTTTGGCCAATTAATAATAGATATTTTATAACATATAAAAAATTAGTAATATTTACGTGTCTATGTGACGATGACACCAAAAATTAGTTACGACAATGTATACATGTGTACCAGTTAGCTTTAAGTCTATGCGACATCTTCTATCATGTTCATGTAGATTGAAAGTGACAAACCAATTTAATTGAGAAAACTTGTCATGTGGGTTGGGCATGATCATGCCTTGATATTCCTTTTGAAGATTCATCCCAATAATGCGAGGCTATTTGGAGAGAGGTCAAGAACAGTGAGAATATTATATCATAAGACAATCAATTGTATGTGCCTTGGTCAAGGACATTTTTTTTTTGTAGGCAGTTGCATCTGTACTGGAACAGTAATAGGATCCTTTTCTTTACTTTATGTAACTGCCCTATTGTATTTTTTTAAAGTTTAATGAATCTTGGTTTCAGTCCAAAAAGAGCATATGAACTCAGATTATCATGAGGCCTACATCAGCTCACACATATCTATATCACCCTTACTTATGTAATTAGGAAATAGTTTATGGTGGATGCTTGAATTAATTGTCATTCTTTTCAAGTAAATAGTTTACAAAATTTGTAATTAGGAAAGGAACCTGCAGGATAAATATGAAAATAAAAACCGGAAAAGAAAAGCGATTCAAGAACAAAGAGTACCTGCAAAAACAGCATTTGTTGCTTCTTCCTATACCGCACACGTTATGCGTGTCGTGTGACTTGTATAATGTTAAATTGTCACATAAGTATGAAATAACAAGAATTGACAGTGGATTGATGATTTGGTGTAGGGCTCATCACTATCTTCTTATGGCCTCTTTGCTTCATTTTTTACTCTAGCTCTCTTCTTTATGAGCATTTTGATGGGTTTTTGAGTTTTGATAGGTCACTAGTGAGTGTGCAGAGACCTACAAGAGTTGAAGCAGCGACAGGCCTCATTTGGAGTTGTGCAAGGAATGCGTCAAAACTAAGTTCGGGGTTTGCCAAATTATCAATGGTGTCACAAATTAATTTGTGGACATAAAAAAAAGGGTTGTGCCACGATTGCCACAAACCTCAATTGGCAACCTTGTCGGTTACTACGCTTCAATGGCAGAGGAGAGTGGGATGGAGTTGAAGGAATTGGTTTCTCGATTAACGAAGGGAATGGTTGAATTTAATGAAAACCATCCCAAGAGATTGCGAGGGGACAATGTGTTTGAAGCTACATGTGTGTATTTTAAGGAGATAGGAAACATTATGAGAAGAGATGACATAAACTTGTTTATCTATACAAAGGAGGGTGCATGCAATTTTGAAATTTATGAGATTGATTTTGGGTGGGGAAAGCCAATTTGAGTGAGCATCCCTGGTGGTCTACTCAAGAATGTTGCCACTTTGATTGACACAAAGGAGGGTGATGCAGTAGACGCATGGGTAAGTTTTAAGTGAAGAAGACGTGGTCTTATTCGACTGACACCTGGAACTTGTTGCTTTTGTTTCTTTAAATCCATGTGTGTTGTACCTGTAGCAAGAAAATCTTCTCTTTAGTTTCTTAGGATTTGTTTTATGTTTTTGCTGGTCTCTCTTCTTCTTTTGGGATAAGAATTTTGTGTATTTATAAAGTGTGAATAAAATGAAACTTTGCAATGCCAAGGAACTCTACACTTTATGGTAGCAGTTGAGCTCAGGCCTCATACAAAATACTATATTTAGAGGTTTGCCAAAGATGCTTCACTTTTCTTTAAGAGCACTTGCGCTAGGCAAACAAGCTGCCTCTGTCCAACACTCCAGTTTTCTCCATCTTCAGCAACTGTTTGAGTGGAAATATCAACCTTGTAGAATAATGCTCAACCTTGACCTTAAGTCCTACAGACATATCTTAGAAATAACACCATCAATAAGAATCTGCCCTCCTGAGGGTTCCACTATCCTAAAGAGACACTACTAAAAAACTGGGCAAAGACCACGA